GTTGTTGCTCTTCAGCTCCAAGCTGTCTTGGAGGAAAGTGATTATCTGGATCCATTTCAAACTGGCTTTAGGACAGGATATGGAGTGGAGACTGCCATGGTTGTCTTAGCTGATGATCTTCGTCTGGGCATCGACAGGGGTAATTTGACCCTGTTGGTGTTACTGGACCTCTCAGCGTCCTTTGACATGGTAGATCATGACATCCTCTTTGGACGCCTGAGAATTAGGAATTGGAGGCATTGCATTGCAATGGTTCCGTTCCTTTCTCTTGGGCAGATTCCAGAGGGTATTGCTTGGGAACAGTTGCTCAGCAAAAAGGAGATTAATTGTGGTGTCCCTAGGGCCCTATCCTGTCCCCGATGCTATTCAACATATATATGAAGCTCTGGAGGAGACCATCCGGAGACATGGGGTGGGGTGTTATCAGTATGCTGATGACACCCAGATATATTTCTCCATGTCTCAGTCTACAGCTTTGACTTTAGATGGCATCTCCCCTCTCAATGAATGTCTTAAAGCAGTAACGGACTGGATGAGAAAAAAACAGATTGAAACTGAATCCAGACAAAATGGAGGTACTAACGGTAACAGCCCCAAACCCAGGTATTGGGATACAATCTCCAGTTCTAGATGGGGTCACACTCTCCTCAAAGGACTGTGTTCACAGTCTGGGGGTGCTCACTTCAGATGACAAATCAGGTGAATGCAGTGGTCAAGAGCACCTGCTATCAGCTTCGGCTGATATGCCAACTGCATCATTTCCTGGAGGTCAGGGACCTCAAAACCATGGTACATGCACTGGTAACCTCTCATCTTGATTTCTGCAATGCACTCTACATGGGGCTACCCTTGTGCCTAGTTTGGAAACTTCAATTGGTACAGAATATGGCAGCCAGGCTAGTCTCAGGTAAAACCAGGAGAGACCATATAACCTCTATCCTACATCTATCCTAAGGTTGCTTCACTGACTGCCTATTAGTTCCCAGGCTCTGTACAAGGTGTTGGTTATTACCTTTAAAACCCTAAATGGCATGGGTCCAACCTATCTTTGGGACCACTTCCTTTCATATAATCCACCCCATGCACTAAGGTCCTCTGGGAAGAATTTATTGCAACCTATAAAAACTAAATTATCTGCAACTGCCCAGAGGACCTTTTCAGCTGTCAATCTGGAATGGCCTGCCAGATGAGATCCATCATTTGACCACCCTAAACAGCTTTAAAAATCTGTTAAGACAGATCTCTTCTGGCAGGCCTTTCCTGAGCAGGTAACCAGCCACTGAAAATAGTTAAGCCTGTCCCTGATTTTCGCTACAGCCATTTTAAATTATTTGTGATTTGTGATTTTTAAGTATGTTTTTATATTTTGTCTGTTTAATTGCATTTTAAGGGGGGGTGGGCTATTGGGGGAAGGGATTGTTTGTTTTATTTTATAAGCCACCTTGGTTGTTTTTACAGAGAGGCGGGATATAAATTATTATTTCCCTATGTGAAGTACCTGAGGTCCTTGGCAACCCAAAACCATCTACAGGAATGCAGATCCTAGGCACCCCACCTCCAAGTTGCAGGACTAAAGTGAAGGCAAAGCCTACAGGCCAATCCCCAGGGTAGTCTTCTTCTCCAAACCTTGGGTCCCTGGACCTAAACAGGCAATTCCAGAGCCCTCCCCTTCACCAAAAGGGTGCCAAGGTGTTAACTGTAACTTATTTTCTCCCCCATTACCTGCCAAATGGCCACCTATCTAAAGATACTGCCCTAAGCCAAGTGTCTAAGTGTCCCAGATACAATGTGGAATAGGCAATAAATAAATAAATAAAATGAAGTAAAAGTGGAATTACTACCAGGTTCCAAAGTGACCAACAAAAGTCAGACTGTACCAATGCTTCACTAGCATCCATAACAGAATGAGAGAAGCTATTGGTAGCCAGGATTGTTTGTCTTCCTACTTCCTTTCAAAGCATTGGGTTGCTTTGTGAATGTGTACACAGCAGCACTGGAAGGGGGAATGAGCACATTCACACAGCAGCTGGCTTTGGAAGGTGGTTGGCCTCCGTGATTGCCTCTCCCACCACTTCCTCTCAAAGTGTGGGATTGCTGTGTGAATTTGCTCACAGCAACATCAAAATTTGGGAGGAAGGAGGAGAAGCAGCCCCACCTGCCAATACCTTCCTGAAGCTGACTGCCATGTGCATATTCACACAGCAGCTGACTTCAGAAGGTATTTTATTTACACAACTGCATGTGCCCCCACCTTCCTCCCTCCATTTGGCAGTGTGGAAATCAAACCACATGACCATGGATTGCCAAAGTGTTATTATGGAGGAAAGTGTGCTAAGAAATTCTGCCAAACCAGTATGCTTCCAATCTTAAATTAATGGGATTGTGGTGGGACAGCAGGCTACTGTGATAATGTCCTGAGTCTTTCCTCTGTTGTCAGTGATGAAATAAAAGATCACTTATGTTGAATCTGGGGTCTAGACAACAGGATACATTCAGGAGCACACAGGTAGCTCTGACTACTCTTTCCCCTTCAACAGCATTATCTTCTGAGGCAACAGCCTCATTTTGCTCAATGCAGGAGGTGAGCAAATTGTGGTCCTTGTGCCCCCACAAGGTTGATCTTGTTATCCTCAGCCCTTCCAGACTCATTGGAACACCTCTTTTCTGATAAAAAGTTACCTTCCCTGGAAGCCTCCAGAAGCTGTAATTCACCTTTTCAATAGTCTGTAAGAGCTGACTGAACTGAAATGCATAGAAATACATTTTTTCCAAACCAGAAGTGCACTTCTATTTTGTATGTATGAGTAATGCCCTGTCTCTATCTCACTCAATAACCAGACTTCATGAATGAACTAAAAAGGGTTTATTGAAGCAGATCAGCACAGAAATACACCTATTGCAAGAACTGGCTTTCAGGCATCAGTTTTATTATTGGGTCTTTTTGTATGATGTTTTATGTATACTTGGTTTTAATATGTAA